CTGGCAGAGCAGATCATCGCGGCGATACCGGAGCGCATCAAGAACAACCTGCACATGAGCGACGCGGCGGGAGCAGACGACGCCGGGTTCACGCTAGACAGCCGCCGATACAGGTACGTGTGCAGGGGGAGGTGTGTTCGTGCATCCCTTTTGATTTCTCCATCCTTTTATCCTTCCCTCTCTCCCTCCTTCAAATCTAAGCTCCTATTTTACCATTCTCTACCTCTCTTCCTCTCTATTGCTCTCTCTCTCTCTCTCTCTCTCTCTCTCTCTCTCTCCCTCTCTTGCTCCCTCTCCCTGTCCCTCTCCTTCTCTCTCTCTCTCTCTCTCTCTCTCTCTCTCTTTCTCTCTCTCTCTCTCTCTCTCTCTCTCTCTCTCCCCCTCTCTCCCTCTCCCTGTCCCTCTCCCTCTCTCTCTCACAACGAGAAAACCTCTATGGGTTGTTGTCACGGCGTCATGTCTCGACGTTGCAGGGGCTGGGGAGGCAGTACTCCCTCCTCCAGCTCTAGCCCAGCCTCCAGTCTGCAGAGCCCCTCGCCACCGCCCACCGCCGCCGAGTTCCGGGGCTTCTTCAATGCATCCGGGAAGATGCTGGAGAGAAACTTTGCGGAGTTGACACTGTCCGGTAAGTCGTGCATGTTGTGCTCTATCAGCATATATCATGTTTAGTAGAAGGTGCAGGGAGACACCGTCGGATGTGACTACTCAGTTTATTCCTACACAATAAGTTTTCACATTAATTATAATCCTAATATTAATTACTATTTAATTAAAATTACGTTATTTAATTTTGCGTATTATCGCTAGCGATATTGTGAGTAGTAACTGTGCTTTCTGTTGTAGAAGCTGCAGACATGCATGCTTGGATTTAACTCGATTTACTCCATTAACTTCGCGCATCAATTTATGTGTTAAATTGTGAGTAAGTGACAGTTTCGTTCCTTGTAGCATGTTTGCCGGGCTATTGTGTGAACGGGTGATCAGTTTCTGCATGAACATTTATATAATATTAATTATTATTTAATTAAAATGTAATTAATATATAATTTTGCATAATACCGCTAACGATATTATGAGGAATAACGTAATATAAAACTAGAGACATGATCTATATTGTTTCCCTCCTGATGCTCGCCGATGTCTTTGCTATACAGATAAGGAACAGAGAGAACTCTATGAGGCAGCAAAGATTATTCAGTGTGCATATCGCCAGTATAGGGGGCGCCGCCGGCAGCAGGAGCAAGAGCGCGCAGCAGCAATACTCATCCAGAGCTACTATCGTCGGTACAAGCAGGTGGGCTGTCACTCGGTCATCATAGACGTGGTATCGTAGTAGTAGTAGTAGATTTACCATTCATGGTAAATGTTTCACAATGTCTTACCTACTGTTCACAGGATGCAATTTTTTCATTAAACTATGTATAAAATAGCCACGCTTACGTCAAATCTATGAATAAATAAATGAATAAATTAATTAATTAATATAAGATTTCACGCATTGTGGAGGTGGATGCATTTCTGAGTTTCCTGCTTACGTGCGTTTGGTTTCTTGCTAACCTTGTGCTTGCCGTTGTTCTGCAGTACGCGTTCTTCAAGAAAATGACGCGGGCCGCCGTGCTGATCCAGAGCCAGTACCGCAGCTACCGGCAGCACAAGTACCGCAAGCAGGCATGCCACCTGAGCAGCGATCTGGCTAGTCGCTGTTGTGCCCAGTCTATCCTGCAGCAACAGCCCATCAAGTAATGATGATGATGATGATGATGATGATGATGAAGATGTTTACGGCCATGTACGGGGCGATGTTTACGGCCATGTACGGGGCGATGTTTACGTGCGAATTCCGTTCATGCAGGTTAATATTTAACCCTTTATCTCTGCGAAGCTCCGCCCGCATTATTCGGTTGATGCACATATGATATACCTGAAGATTGAGGATAACATCGCCCGTGTAAATAGCATGTAGAACTTTCGTAAGCACTTTAATACTGATCTATTGCATGATATTTGTAATACGTTTGGTGTGGTGGTTTGGAAACGTAAGTCTGCTCATTTTGGAGATAAAGGTCGATTACTTGCATATATGTACTTGGCTTAAATGTTGCACACGCAAGCAACTTCTATATATTGTGTGACTTCGGTGGGTAAAGTTTGTGCCCTGTTTGAGGTTTGATGAAGGAATCGGTGTTTTTATTACCGAGAATGACGTCATACCTTCGCATAACACGTGATGTCGATAATATCAGAAGTGCATAATAATAGATCAATCTAAGCTAGATAATAATCTAGTATTATTCACTCCTGATAATACGAACATCTGTCAACACAAAACATGGCGTAACACAGATCACTTCGCCTACTGACTGCATCTGTGAATCGCTCTAAATCCAATTGCTGTCCCCTGCTTCGTTGCTGGGGATGTATATGTATATATAAATGCTAGACGTGATTCTGCACGTCGCTCGCCCGCGTACATCCGTCGTTTCTCCACAAACACGGAGACGCGCACACGACGGAGCGAGAATCAAGCGACGTTTCACGAACGAACGAATGAAAAAAAAAACGGGTGGTTTGAGGTGATCTGAAAGACCAAGAATCGATAGTAGATATAGTCGCTAAACGCATCGCTCTTTGTGATATCGATTATCCACTGTGCATTTTGGCATGCACGTCTCAATTACCAATTCTAGTATATATACGTATATATATATATATATATACATATATATAATTTATATATATATATATATATGTGTACATCATAAGGTATAATGTTAGCAACCATATACGTTATATTTCTGCTGTATCACACTACCAGAAAGTTTTAGGGGGATTTTCTTCTGTAGCTGAAGGACAACGAGATCACGCTAGTAGCATGCTGTTTACATTAGATGATGATGCATGGGTCCTCATTCTCATTCTTGAGTCATATTCTCACTGGACTTACATATTATTACTGTATACTTGTTTACAGTAGCAACAGTAGTAACATCAATGCCGGCAGCAGTGGCGGCCTCTATATTGAAAACGTTCTCACGCTGAAGCGACAGCAGGCGGCGGCGAGAAAGATCCAACGGTTCATGCGGCAATCGAAAAATAGGTGAGTGCCCCTGGTGTGCGTCGACGTAGTGACGCACGGCAGACCCTGTCACGTGGTGATCTCGCATCGGTTAGGCGCAGTTTCCGAAATATCTACGTCTGCCATACAGAAACCCCCGTGGGAGGGCATTATCAGGCAGACACACGTATGCTGCGTTCGTAGTTGTGCACGAAAATTTGTGTTAGAGTCGCTTGGTGACACTAAGCATTTTGATTCGAAAGACTAGAAGACCGTATGTGTTTTAGAGTGATGGTCAGTTGTGTGGTCATGACCCTGTATTCTTCTCAAGGTCGTTGTTAATTCTGGGGGGAGGTTTGCATCACTGGGCATTCGATTTCGCCTTGCGTTTCTGTCAGTAACAGATTTGCGGAACCTTTTTATCGGTGGTTAATTTTGCTGTGTGGTTTTGCTTTGACGCCTCGCGTAGACACAGGTATGATAGTCGTACGAACGTTTACGATTTCTCCATGTTCGTTTGCCTGGTTTTCTTACTACCCTCTTCTTCATATATACGACTGCGTGTGTTTCAGTATCGTTACTCCCCACGTTCGTCCAGGTGCCACCGTAAACTATATATATCTGTGGCATGTCACGCTTGCCTGCGATTCTCTTTTTCCTGTCCGGTTTCTGAAGCTCCCACGTGCATAAATTCTTGGAAAGCGTCGGGAACTTGATTTGAGATGGTTTGCGGGGTGGGGGAGCCCTTCCAGGGGTGATACAACGCTGATATCTATGGCTGTTTGCACACCAGCTAGCATGACGTACTCTCAGATTTGTTTTAGTCACTGAAAAACATTTATGTTACATACATATATTAAATTTATCTATATCTATATATGATATACATATATATGCACCCTATCTGCTCTTTTTATGTTTAGGCCCCTCGCACTCACACGGCATGATTTTGGTATGTGTTGTTGCTTCCTGCATGTATTTCTTATCTTTTACAATAATATATTCAAATATATGCTGCAAACAATAGCAGCAATGTAAATGGTAATTGCTAGTCAAGTAACCAGTTGACGTAGTCAACAGAGTTGTGATATATATATATATCACTTGTGTTATATATATATAAACGAACTACCTATAATATAATATTATAATAATTATAGTTAGTGTAGCTATAAAATATTCTGATGTTTAAGTTTTAACCCTAAATCACATGTTAACATAAGTGATTTTTTTAAGTAACTTTGTGAAGATCCTTTTTTTATTTTTATAACCTAATATTTAGAGTATGTTATTATTCCTAACTGGCTCGTGTTATTTATGGAATAGCCCCTCAAATTTACATACATATTATCAAGATAGTATCTAGATCCTGGCCTCTTTTTAGTTTTGCATAGGTGCTAGCAGAGTTAGCTCGAATGGGCAGTGCAAAATATTCACGTGCCAACCCTTGCGCATTTGCCTTTTTTATCATATTCATGCTATTTTTATACATATCCAAAACTGCCCTTCGGATACTATAGGTTAGGAAAGAGTTTATATTTTTAATTCGCAACTGCCCTTCCTATATAGAATTTCTGTTGGTAACTCATTTTACAATGCTCGTGTGTTATAATGCTAACTCCAATCAAGACATTGCTGAGTAGGTTATTAATTAGAATATTCAATATCTGAATTAGAGACAATAATGTGTTTATTTTCTCTCAATGCTGCTGTAAAGCTTGTGGGACTGTCTAAATGCCAATGAGGTTTGTACATAATTTACGACCAATTCAATATGATGATTATTGGAACCAAGAATGATCTCAAACATCTTAGACGAGCAGAATTTCCAAACCTACTTCACTCTCATTTGAGATGAAAGTTTCGGTAAAAATAATAATCTTGCACATGCTTTACATAATGTCTTCAAGGTTGCAAGGTTGCAAGGTTCAAGGTTGCACGTACATACGTGAAACGTTGCCTGATTACATCATAGATTTATAGAACGCGAATTTTAATGAGTCTTAACAGTACCCTTTTCTCATAGACTGGACCTCTCTGTACACTGAGTATGGGAAATTCGTAACTTTACGATGTTCTGTCCACAGTCTACGAGACTATAAGTTAATGTTACGACTAATTTTGTTTCTGACAACGGGGTTCCTGGTCATTTTAATGTTACGACTATTTTGTTAAGACTAATTTTGTTTCTGGCAATAAATTTTGTCTCGGCTGTCTTACTTACTATATGCGGTCTGCTTTTTCAAGTATTTCCGCGGCACCATTGCAGGTTGCAGCAAGAACGAGCAAGATTGGCAGGCATGGCAAGAAGAGAGACTGCCGATGACATGCTGTAGCCATGGCAACGCCAGCCGGCCAGCCGACGCCATGTTGGGAAGGATGGAGGCGGTCACCAACCGGTAGCTATGCGGTTTCGGCGCGCGAGAGCGAGCGACGTTCTTGTGTTTACTAGCGGGCAAGTCGGCTATCGTGGTACGCGAGCCAGTCGTGTGACGTAGGCGTAGCGACATGAAGCGATCGCCTCTCGTCGTTCCACCGTGAAGTGTTAAGGAGAGATCTTGCCTCCCCCCCCCCGCAACGTCGTTTGCGGCGGTGGCGCTCTCTCTCGCACGCTGTCCACGATTGCAGAGCATGCGTCGATGTTGCTTTAACCACCTTCTTCGTGGAGAAGGGGGGAGTGTACGTGTGCTGAGACCGGGAGGAACTCCGTTGCATTATGTAAAAGTTTGCGTTGTCGACCGGACGAGAGAGCGTCGCGTGGCAAGGTCTTTGGCAAGCGAGAGAGGACACGCCCTTCGGTACCTCGATGATGGCCCCTCCCCCTGGAGAAAGGGAGTCGCACTGTAGCACCACACCCCTCACCCACCCCCGCACCCCTCACCCCCCTGTGATGACATTTGTGCCTACCCTCGGGCAGATGTATCTCTGCTACACTGCCCCCCACCCCCATCCACACCCCTGTGGTGGTTAGCACTAGAACTATAGCCCTTTCTCTCCACCACAGGCCTTGCTGCTGTGGCGCAGGAAAGGGCTATAGTTGTAGAGCTACCTCGTGGTGAGTCTATGTTAGTAGTGTGCAAGGACGTAAGGTAGTGTGGCACGTAGACATGACCGGTAGGGCGATGTTTACGGCCATGTACGGGGCGATGTTTACGGCCATGTACGGGGCGATGTTTACGGCCATGTACGGGGCGATGTTTACGTGCGAATTCCGTTCATGCAGGTTAATATTTAACCCTTTATCTCTGCGAAGCTCCGCCCGCATTATTCGGTTGATGCACATATGATATACCTGAAGATTGAGGATAACATCGCCCGTGTAAATAGCATGTAGAACTTTCGTAAGCACTTTAATACTGATCTATTGCATGATATTTGTAATACGTTTGGTGTGGTGGTTTGGAAACGTAAGTCTGCTCATTTTGGAGATAAAGGTCGATTACTTGCATATATGTACTTGGCTTAAATGTTGCACACGCAAGCAACTTCTATATATTGTGTGACTTCAGTGGGTAAAGTTTGTGCCCTGTTTGAGGTTTGATGAATGAATCGGTGTTTTTATTACCGAGAATGACGTCATACCTTCGCATAACACGTGATGTCGATAATATCAGAAGTGCATAATAATAGATCAATCTAAGCTAGATAATAATCTAGTATTATTCACTCCTGATAATACGAACATCTGTCAACACAAAACATGGCGTAACACAGATCATTTCGCCTACTGATTGCATCTGTGAATCGCTCTAAATCCAATTGCTGTCCCCTGCTTCGTTGCTGGGGATGTATATGTATATATAAATGCTAGACGTGATTCTGCACGTCGCTCGCCCGCGTACATCCGTCGTTTCTCCACAAACACGGAGACGCGCACACGACGGAGCGAGAATCAAGCGACGTTTCACGAACGAACGAATGAAAAAAAAAACGGGTGGTTTGAGGTGATCTGAAAGACCAAGAATCGATAGTAGATATAGTCGCTAAACGCATCGCTCTTTGTGATATCGATTATCCACTGTGCATTTTGGCATGCACGTCTCAATTGTCAATTCTAGTATATATACGTATATATATATATATATATATACGTAATCGAATATCGTAATGTGTTTGAATTTTATAAATTTTAGCGCTAAATTTTTTGGGAGAGTGCGTAGAGTTAAACCTCTCTATAAGCATAGTCTATTGTGCCCCGATATTTTGCTTGATTATAGTATCAGCCTGGTACTTTTGTTGGTTAGGTTTGTAGGTTTGGTACTGCGCTGTTTTTCTCATGGCATGTGATGGCTTGATGAGCAGTTTAGGCATACGCATTTCCTTTCAGACATGCGCTCCCAATGCACTCATGCGCTTCATGTAACCAGCTAGGGTAGCAGATGGTCGCCAAAGTCGTTTCACAGCTTGTGTTTTGAGATTTTAAGTCGGTAGCTATTTTAAGTATTTGGTTAGGGTTTTTTCTTCTCACTTGCCGCTTGTACTGCTCGCACAAGGTTTGGGCACATGCAGTCATAAGATAGCAGCTATTTTGAATTGTAGCTTAGAAGCAGCCGTTATTGTAGTCTTGCAACTTCCTTGAATGATCGTAGTGGAGGATTTAACCGAAGCCGATGCTCCACAGGCATTCGGTTACGGTTATATGGTTTATGGTTGTTTTTGTTCTTGTAAATAATTGTCAGTTTTTATCGTATGCGAGATTTCGACCAAGCGCGCTCATAAGTATCTTCCAAATTTGCACGGAACACGTATTTTGGGTATTTCAATACGCCCCTAACGTTTTTTATATAAAATACTTAACTAGAAAAAGCAGACAGGCAGATGTCATTTGCATTTTTTGTGTAGCACCCATTATAAGATATTGCTATATATTCGACTAACTTTTTGCAACATATTGTGTTGCGGTTTCGTATTATTATAAAATAACGTAAGTGCACGTGTGTGTGTTCTAGTAGAAAACGCGGGAAAATTAAGCTGTTCGTTGTGGAACACTATGCATTTAATCTGACGTCGAGCGATTCCAGAGCGATCTGTGTCGCCTGCGTGACTTGTACTTTAAAACTAACATTTACTATTTGTGATTTGAAATCTTTATTCAAACTGACGTGTTGGTGCCGCGATCTGTTTGTCAGATGACGTCATCAGATATATCGATAGATTTTTCGGATGGAAGTCGCTATCATCCTTTTCCAATGCTTATCGCTTGTATGAATTCCTTTAATCGCGTATTCTCATTCGAGTGTAGTAGCAGTACAAACCTAACCATCCTCTCATCGCGGTTATTTTTATTTGCGCGTTTTTTGTGTGTGGAATTTTTGCGATCGTTTTCAAGAACGTAAGTATCGCGTCAGTTGAGAGTTACCTGTGTGTGTAGGGAAGCCAAGCTTCCACTGCACCCCTGTAGTAGCGTCTGTCCATCACTAAAACTTGTCCCTCTCACATAAACCTGCGTAACTCTACGACTGCATACATCGTTAACTTAATTGTTGTAAACGTTAACTTTACGCTCACATTTAATCCTACTTATCGACTTTAATACAATTTATAATTAGCCGTGCTTATAGTTATATGCGGCATATTTTTAGTCGTATTCTTGATATTATAATACTTAATGACTCATTCATTATTAAATTTAATAGTACTACTTCTTTCTGTGTGTATAGTGACTTAATTTTCACTAACAACGTTTCAATGCTCTCCCTCTCTCACCCGATTATGTTGAACGACGGAATGAAAGATAGTGATTATGTGCGCAAACCATGTGGGTAGATTAGATTGAAGGCAGTCTTATCGTTTGGATATGAATGACGTATATTGACAGACAGTCGTGATCTCTTAGCTTCGCAGTAAAAGGTAGCAGCGTGTGTACATGTGTGCGTGCGCTCGCGGGCACGGGTGTAGTTCTACTTTGTATGCACTCCATTTTTGTGTCCGTGGATTTACGTGGATTTATGGAACTTTTTTAAATGTTGGGCAAAAACAAGGCGGGCAATATTCACTACGATGAAAATATTTCCGCTCGTTTTTGTCTTTTGGTATACGGTTACTTCAGGTGTAGTTCGTGTTTACGTCTCCACATTTGCTGTTATCGTTGTTGTTGTTGTTGTTATTGTTGTTATTTGCTACGACTGTGTTTCAGGAACTTGTGTCTGTGAGCGTAGGAGAGCCATTGCACGCGTAAAGGAAGCCTTTACCTTGCTGCCACTCCACCCCCTGCTAAATCGGGTCTTACTTATCTAAACTTTTGCTAAAGAAATATAGTTGTGGAGAAAAGCTTTAAGGATGAAGAATCGGATGTGGTTTCGCGCATGCTCTGAGAGTCGCGGTTCTCGTTTTTAAGCGCGTTTTCCGCATCGGCTGCGCTTCTTTGTCGCGGCTACTATACTCGCTATAATCGTTGTCTTTGTATGTATCATTCTCATTTACTCATCTAAATGATATTTGATCGATGTTATAAATCTTTTTTTTATTTTACATATTACAAACACCTATTATTATTACTCGAGTACGTTTTTTGCTGCACGTGAAGTCGTGAACGTATAAAGCTTACAAATAAGATTTTTTCATGTGTGCGTATTAAATAGACGCGTTTTTACTCGTCCTACTACCCGTTGACGTTAACTTTTAATAAGAGCTGTGACGTGGGATTAATTATCTGGAACGGCTTTGTTGATTGTTGTAGTCTTCTCGTGCGTGTGTAAGTCGGTTTTTTCAAAGTTATTTTTATTCACTCCTGATGTGATCAAGATCATGTAAATGTTTTGACTTTAGGTTTGAAGTTTTATGTGCCCTTGGTAGGATGCGTCGCCTCTCTCTCCCTTTCTCTCTCTCTCTCTCTCTCTCTCTCTCTCTCTCTCTCTCTTTCTCTCTCTCTCTCTCCCTCTCTCTATTTCTTTCGCTTCTCGCACTCTCTCTCTCTCTCTCCTCTTCTTCTCTCTCTCTCTCTATCTCTTTCTCCTCTCTTCTCTCTCTCTCATCTCCCTCTTTCTTCCTCTCTCCTCTCTCTCTCTCTCACTCTCCTCTCTTCTCTTTTCTCTCCTCTCTCTCTCCTCTCTCTCTCTCTTCTCTATCTTTCTCTTCTCTCGTCTCATCTCTCTCTCTTCCTCTCTTCTCTCTCATCTTCTCTCTCTCTCTCTCTCTCTCTCTCTCTCTCTCTCTCTCTCTCTCTCTCTCTCTCTCTCTCTCTCTCTCTCTCTCCTCTGCTCTCTCGCTCTCTCGCTTCTCTCGCTCTCTCGCTCTCTCTCGCTCCTCGCTCTCTCCTCTCTCTCTCTCTCTCTCTCTCTCTCCTCTCTCTCCTCTCTCTTCATCTGCTCTCATCTCTCTCTCTTTCCTCCTCTGTCAATCTCTATCTCTCGCTCTCTCCTCTCTCTCTCTCCTTGTCTCTCTCTCCTTTCTTTCTCTCTTTGTCGATCTCTTCTCCTCTCTCTCTCTCTCTCTCTCTCTCTCTCTCTCTTCTCTCTCTCTCGTCTCTCGCTCTCTCTCTCTCTCTCTCTCTCTCTCTCTCTCTCTCTCTCTCTTTCTCTCCCTATTCACGCGCAGTCGCGTTGGGGCTGGGTGGGGGTTGACACATGTCGTGTCATACTCGGATTGACTATGGTAGAGCTAGGATCGTCTGCACTGTGTACTGCTCTGAATCGGTGCTCGAGTATCCCAGATTAGAATTCACTTAACTGGTATCAAAATCTACTGCAAATCCTGATGCATGAAGGAGAAATCGGTGGTGGGTGGGAGTGGGAGGAGGTTCCCTATAAATCAACCCAGTAATGCAAAAATAATTCCTTATGGTTATAGTGTGGGTCAATTGTGAAGGTCAAGGGCACTGCATAGGTAGAGTCACACACACGCGCATGTACGTGCCCTATGTGAGCACGATTCTCCATGACATATATGTGTTGTCTTTTCTCAGGTTTTTGATTTGTACAAAATGTTGGCCTCCGTTTGTAACGTGTTATAGCGGCGTGGCGACGAAACGGACGATAGAATAGCAGGTGGTAGAATCGTTACGCGCAACCACGGTGACATATGCGACCGGTGTTGACACCGTTACCTGTGACTCTGTCACTACAGGTGACAGCGACAGCAGTGCTAAATTCTGCAGCTCATAGGCTTGTGGTCGGGAGAAATGCACGCGTGGTCGCTCGAACCAGTAGACGTCTATTGTGTTGTGTGACACCAGGTGGCGCTTGTGCTTAAGGTTGCGGGGAAACGGAACCTATCAGCGATGTCGATTGAACATTGTTTGGGTTTCTTGGCTGTGCTGAACTTGTGTGTGTGTGTGTGTGTTATATATTTAATTTTATTTATTGTAAAATAAACTGCGGGAAAGTGGGAAAAAATTCATTTTGTCGCAGCGAATTTGTAAAAGCCGTTTTCAGTCGAGAATAAAGGTCATATGGTCACATTTCTGATATTACAGCATATACATTTCAGATGTCAGGAATGTGCGCATTACTAAAATTAAACGACACAAATGTAGATGATATCAGTCCTGATGATATCAGGAGCGAATAAAGTACAAGGGGGGCTTTCACTAGGGAAGTATAATGTGTGCAACTGTTTTAATGGCCATCTTGTGGTGAGATAACTGAAACATCAAACAAACGATGTTTTAACGACATCAACTGCTAAAAAATTGGTTCCAGGCACATCGTCTTAGTATTTTGTTGCCCGAGTTCATGTTATTTACTTCCATGTCTAATACCTAACTTGGTATTACATTGGTATGAGTGGGCTACTGCTTTCAATTGTGACACAGATTATCAATGGTATCTTCCACTACTACCAGTTTACTGCTACTACTACAATCAAATTTGAAGAAAATAAACATATAATCAAGAAAATCAAATTATTTTGATCAAGCATTACGTTTATTTCCTACATTTACCATATGTACAGCACCGTTCTTCTAATACATAGCAGCAGATGTCTCCTAAAGTAATCTCTAGCAGCTCTATTGCACATTATACTCTTGTTTGATTAAAATAACACATGCACGAGGGAATGAGTGATGATGATGAGAATGTGAAAATAAAAATGGAGTACAAATTGTACTCACAGAAGTGCAACATTCTCTATGACATGGCTGTACATTATGACAGATCATCGTCGCTACGAAATGAGCGCACGGAATTGTGATCACCTGATACATCCATTAGCTTTCCCAGCGGAAAGAAATGCACGAGCTTTTTAGTAGTATTTACATGCATCAATACTGAACTAGGAATGTATACACATTGGAGGTACATATATTAGAATGACTTTTGATGATATACATGTAGGCATAAAAACGATCTCGATGTCTATGCAAGTTTAAAACTAATAAAAGTAGCAAGATAGAGTAGAGAATAAAACGTCACTAAACAGGCTGTTACATAAGAGTGAAACACTGCTAAAATTAAAATGGTGCTATGTACAGAAAATAAAACAAACACAGGTATTAGAGGATACATAAATCCAGATGCGACATCAGGGACACATTCTAAATTAAGCTGCAGTGTTCATACACAACATAAAAGGCAACTTTCACAACACAGTAAAATCTATAGCCTCGTCTACACGACCACCTTAACTCGAGTTAAGCGTCTACACGGGGCGGGGCATTAACTCGAGTTAGCTTAACCTCGCCAGTCGATCGAGGTTAAACTAACTCTAGTTAAGGCTCCGTATAGACGCTTAACTCGAGTTAGTGAATAGTACATAACTCCACGATAGGCAGCAACACTAGTACGATGTACGTACACATGCACGCACGCACGTGTACGTGCACACACATGGACGCACGCACGCACGTGTACGTGCACGGACGCACGCACGCACGGGTACGTGCACACACACAGACGCACGCACGAACGTGTACGTGCACATGCACACACGCACGCACTCACGCATGCACGAACGTGTACGTGCACACGCACGCACGTGTACTTGCACACGCACGTACGTACGAACGAACGAACGTATACCTGCACATGCACGCACGCACGCATAATAAATCGGTAATAATCGCTATCGGGTGTTGTCGTGTAGACGCTAACTCGAGTCAACGCTTAAGTCGAGTCAAGGTTCGCCGTGTAGACGAGGCTAATGTCCATCACTGCCATTAATTCATCTAAAAGAAGCTCATACTTCTACATTAAGACCTTGGTTTTTAGAATAAATCTTTAAAAAAATAGGAGCATATTCTTCCATTATTCCAGAGGCTGGTAATGCTCTTGGGTGCTAGGTGGGCAATGGAATAAGGATGCAACCTTACTAAATGGGGGAAACCCCACTATGAACATGCGCTCCAGCAACATAGAGCAATACCAGCAACAATGGATTCGAAATTGCTTTGTCACTCTCACACGCACATGCGCACATGCGCACGTAATCAACTCATGATATCAACCTGGTCCTCGCAACCAAAGCATGCAGTAGAAAATTCCTCGATTATCAAAAATATCTTCTCAAAGCGGTGCCTCGGAGCCACTCCACTAGAGAGGCAAGCCTTGCACTTGGCGACAGCACCATCACTTGCGCGTGCGCTGCTTTCACGAGGCTTCTCAGAGCCGTCTTCCGTTTGCATAATTCTGACTGAATACTGGAACCTCACCGCGCAGCCGACACGTACAGGGGGTTACGCACATTTGCCTTTTCGCCTCCTCAGACTGCCTTACACGCTGGGTATCGTGGTGGAAGGTAAGAGCGAAGCGACGCCATTGTTTCTGTAAAATACGCAAAAAACACGTGGTGAGTGGACTGCAATAGAATAGCATCAACAGTGTGACCGACCAAAACACTGTAAAATTCGACAGTAGTATTCTAGGGGAAGGCTCTACGGTTGCCAACCCTCATCGCAAGCTCACGCACACTCACTTGGAATTCTTGTACTTGTCGCATATGGCTTGCTGGCCACTGCTAGCAGCGTTCGACCACGCCCTCTGCATGTCTTGCAGCAGCGGCTGCAGCTGCTCCACCTGGTAGCCGCTAAACATCTGAACGTCCATCGGCTGCAGTGCAGACAGAACAATGGTGTCAGGTTCAGAGCCACTCGCTTCATTCTCAAAATCTTGAGTTGCTGAGCATACTACTGCCAACACTTGATGATAAAAATGTCATCTGCCTACTACTAGCATAACACACGAAAAAACAAACCAAACATGGTAGAAATTCACGCGCACTTTACTGGCAAATGTCTCTCTTACCCATGGCTCTCTACCCATAGCGTGGTTGGCCAGCATCATCGCAGCAGCACCGATCGTGGACGGCAAATACTTCAAAAACACTTCAGCGTTGAGCAGGGTCAATTCCGACAGATACTGAAGCACAAATCGTAAACTATGGTACAATACCGGACTTATATTTAACTTTTTCAATTTTCTTACTAACGTTCAATTGCAAAGGCTCAAATCTGAGAACCAGCAACAAGTTGCATGAAAAACTGTGGTTAAAAATTGGAGAGGGATGAGATTGAGTGCATTGAGGTCGTGCCCTAGTCATAGTTCGGAGAATAAATGTCGATTATCATGAGTCTTAGTTACCATGGCAAGAGATGTGGTCTTGTCGTCACACTGACACATGTAAGCGAACCTCTGCAGGAAGCAGAGAGCAGTCGGCACGGCAACGTCAAACGACAGCACTTTCAGCACCAGATGTTCCATGCGAAGAACCTGTGATTGTAAGCAATCATGCCTCTTCAGTGGCGTAATACATGGTCAGCACATTAACCTTTTTGCCTAATTTCTCAAGTGTGTACCTTCACCCTTTCTCCCTCACCCTCTCTCTATCCCGTTCAGTTATTTGTGACTTTCAACTTATACCAGTGAATAGAGAAAGCATGCTAACCTGTGGCTGGGTGTACGTATCGTCTGTGATGTAGACAAACTCGCCAATGTCCGGTGGATAGATCTCTTCGTATTTCCTGAAATGTTATAAACCCAATCATTAAAAAACCCAATTATTTGCAATAATTTCATTAACTCTTGTGGATCAGTAACTAACGAAACTATTTCATAACGTACCATCGCCTAAATTGCAACCCAGACGTCGTAGCATGCCGAGTTCGAACACCCAAATGGAATTCTGAGCAGCATTCACTCAAACGAAGGGTAATCCTTCAATCTACTACTGCTTTACGAAGACGCGAGATCATTCGATCGGATGATAGTCCTGTCTCAGCACATTATCACTACCTGGACATTATTAGAGATGCAAATTACATTCTACCGACTCAGCGCCCGCCCGACAGACGACGAGATATACGGACCTACACCTCCGACCTCTGAGTTACAACTTACATCTTACATCATACCGGATACCGACTCGGCGGCCAGACGACGAGATCTACGGACCTACACCTCTGAGTTACATCTTACCGGATACCGACTCGGCGCCCAGACGACGAGATCTACGGACCTACACCTCTGAGTTACATCTTACCGGATACCTACTCGGCGCCCAGACGACAAGATCTACGGACTCAGCGCCCAGACGACGAGATCTACGGACTCACCCGGCGAGGAACATGCTGGCTGCGCCGACCAGCTGCAGCTTTCCACGCATCACCGACATGCAGGAGAGAAAGCGGTCGACGTAGGAGACGGCGAGGTAGAGCGTCTCCGTGTGCATCTTGTACTCCTCGCCGACCTCGACGAGCCAGTCGACGAGGATGCTGCGCATCGTGTAGGTGATGTCCGGCTGCTTGCGCATGTAGCCGAGCCGCGGCCGCGAGCGCGTCTGAGGAGACGAGAGAACACAAGACGGGAACGTCAATCTTCGCGTCGATGGTTAAATAAACTCGTAAAATATTAGTCTTAAACGTCCAAGGGACTATATCGAAGACGGCGTAAGATAAGACAGTATAATGGTTGGATGTCGCACTATTTCGATACTGTTGCTTTGTTCTAATTTAAGTTGTATTCAAATGTGTCTCGCCACGGTAAATGCTATGATGCCTACAGAGGTAAAATAGCTTAATAAGGTTTCCCAGTATACCAATATCATGTTTAAAAATTTTTAGGAACCGTTGCAGCATCCACTGTGGTTGAGTTATATCTAGCAAGTAGACATGTGCATAGCCATTGGGCGAGATGGTTACCTCTGCTTCCCTGAGATATTGATAGATATCTGCAGAATACTCTGCTACGCAGAGCGTGACATCGTCTTCATGTTTTTTCTCGCAGTCAACATCTAGGTTCTCATCAATAGTTGTGTCAAGGATCATTGGAGAATCTGTTGGGAAGAAAATGATCTAGGAATAAACGTTATAATTGAACTTGTTCATTATTTTTTTACTTAAACAAATATAATTTGTGATCCATGATAGATATATATGATGGGAATATTATAGTTACCAGTTGCCTCAATGCTATCGTTGATCGGGTAGAACCCTGACTGACTAGGTCTGCTGGTTGGGTGTGATGGACCCAGAGTTGTCACTCCTGCGTGAAGTTTTAAATGCGTGGACGAATCACTTTCCTGTGGTCTGGATATTTCCTGGGCTTGATTGTCAAGATGAATACGGAATCCTTGTGATTGGACAACATTAGGTTGTCCTGCAAATTCTTTCTCTTTTCGGGAGTATATATTTTCATCACACACATCATCAGGGAAGACATTAGGCTGAAATAAAAATACAATGCCACGTAGTCGTAGGGCGTAAGACTTGACGATCCCAAGTTGCGTCCTGCTTACAATGTGTACGTGTAGTTCTATTGCTACAACAAAATTGCATTCTATTTTACCAAGACAACCAGATACGCAAATATAAAACACACAATAGAACTACACTATACTATCAATAAGTAATACTAACAGTTTATATGTTAATTTGAACTTCAATTTATCGTACAATGTCAAGTTCAAGACAGAATCAATAGGCCCCCTATTTCAAAATTCAAATCGGACCAAGGCTAAAGCAAGGTCTTTTGTCTGCCACAGTTATCAATTTGAAACATGTGTTTACTTATTTTAGTTCTAGTTTATTCGAATATACTATACTAGTTACTACTTCATGCAAATAATAGTTTCAACACTATATGGGGAAAGTTATAATATCGCTATGTTTGTAAAAGACACCGCCTGAATGGCAGTTGCGGCTACCAGATTCTGTCATATTCCATCTTACACTTACCTGCTGTTTGGCCGCTCTAGACGGCTGTACTCGGTTAACTCTACTGGTTATCGTTCCCAACGCAGTCCTCCTTTGAGCCTGACCATTATCACCAGCTTGTAAACCTTTTCCATGAATTCTTCCCAGTCCTTGGTAGTCATTTTCGGAACTCTGAATTCGTTGACTAGACAAACCGTTGTTCGCCATTATTGTTGAACAGTGTGGTTCTAAACCTCCGTTTTCTCCTTACAGAGGCTACAAATCTCAACAATTTTCACCCAAGAAGTAAAGGAGGTAGCAACAAATGTGCCTTCTTAGTTTCTGTTCATAGAGAAGAATGAAAGTGACGTTTAGTTGCCTGCTTTTCAACCGTTCTACCAGCAGTTTTTTTGTACACTGTCGTACTGCCACAGCTGTGATAGCAATGAACGTTAAACTCCCCGCGAACCAAACGTCAACCAATCACAGAGACACAGTGCGTCACGTGATAAACAACATTGTAAATAGGAGCGCGGATACGCGGGCACTTTTTCTGATGTATGATTCACGTGATAAATAAATAGTAAATTCAACCCGGTTCTATTCAGTGATATGTTGCTTTTCGTCATAAACGATTTTTCATTTTAGATGCATGTAAATAAACAGGTCTTCTTACTAACAGAGGAGCGTACAATAATACGAGATATCTATCAAAAACGTGCACACGATACGTAGCCTAACTAAGACGTAGGAAGGGCGCGCATGCACATATACCATACGAAAATAAAATATAATAAAATAACAATAAGTTCAAATAACCCAAAACATAAATACAACAAATAATAAAAAAATTCATCCATTTGGCCAAACTCTATTATTAAATGTGTGTGGTTTCTTCGAACAGTAAATGAGTATTTCCTCCTTACTGAAAGCTTATATTATACGTGTTATACGTAAATATATATACATACAATATATAAAATTAATGTTATATTCTATGTTCTAATTATATTATATTATGTTCTAAATGTTATTTATGCGGGCCGGGTATACATGAGGAAACATAACCCGGGTTATGCGTCTATATGAGAAAATAACCATGTAGTTGTATCTACACGAGGAAAAATAACCCGGATTACGCGCCAATACAACGCGAGGGAAAATAATACGCGTTAAGAGGAAAAGGATCCGGGTTTATTCCTCGCGTAGATACGCAATATTGCACGAAAACTTTCACACGAATCGCGATCGTGTGCGACATGACCTGAACCTGAACGTATCGTACAGCGCTATCACTCATTGATGTTTTTGGAGCGATTTCGGGGTTCTAATTTTGAGAAAACCACACAAATTATTTGCCCCTCTACTGCAACCTGTGAACGAGGATTTTCTTTGCTGAAGTACACAAAAACAGATACACTGCATACTGTGCTGTCAGTCTATTATATCTGCATGCATGCACCGCTATATTCTCTGCGCTTACGATCCAGCCCCAAATAAACCTGAACATATTTTAATAATTTATTGGAATGTGGTGGGTTTTTGATAATAAACTGACACTTGAACAATTTTAAAATTTAAACAAACTGCATGCTGTGTCCCAACATGAATATATTTTGTATACAAACTCGTATCAGCTGTTCAACTTTCTACTGTGCCGTTAAGTGAAACGCTGGATGTTGACTATAGTTGGACCTTCATTTACGTTATTTACCATTTAAATTCATATTAGAAAAAAAACCTTATGTATTTCTTTATGTTTTTCGGGCAAGTGACTTTTGCCTCCGGGCAACCATTTTCATAACCCACTTGCCCGAAAGGGCAAATGGGAAAAATAAAATATGTAGCACCCTGTAAGGGTCAGCATATTGTACAGGAATAGGATCATAGCAGTCCTGTGGATCATGATCAGTAGCACATACGGATGCTGACAGTGGGAACGGGTAATGCATGACACAGCAGTTAGTACAAATATGCCTAACGACACTCGCGTTTTTCGAAGCAAAGCTGCCGATGCGGGTCTTCAATCACCTAACACGAGGGTAGACCCAGTCTGTGCGAAATTAAAATAGAGCGAGAGAGTAGAATAGAAATTAAATAGAAGCTTCTATATAGTATTCTATATAGTATTCTAAATAGAGAAAAATGCGAGTTTTCGTGAAGAATAAGACACACGTGACCCCCCAATATGTGGACATGGAAGTGGAATTTGAAGGAGGCACTACCGTTACATACTTTCCCTTCGGCCGGCACTTCTTCTGTTTTCTCCGTCTCGTTCTTCTCCGCCTTGGCATTTTGTGAAGAAGGGGTCTAAATTGCACAGACAGAGGTAGGGTGTTAAGATGAAACGTCAAGGCGAAATTACCCACGTCTCCACTCGAAAGTTAAAAAAAAACAACGTAAACTGCAAATAACTCGTGCATAATGTGTAGAATGTGATAGCACACAAACAAAGCTGTGAGGATGCACACACGTGTACAATTGCAGGCGCACACACGCACGCACACACACATGCACACACGGACACAGGAATCCAAGCGCAGATGCACGCACGCACGCACGCATGCACGCACGCACGCACGCACGCACGCACGCACGCACGCACGCACGCATGCACTGCCGGCAAAGGAAACATTTTCCCCCGTTCGCAATCTCCTACATTGCTACGGGTCGTCGAAACAGCGTAACGAGACGAGCAGACAGACAGACGAACCTCCTGCTCCATGGCCTCGGGCGTGGCCCCCGCCGCCGCCGCCGCCGCCGCTGCAGCAGCCGGCTCCTCATTGGGACCGTTCTCCTGCGTCGGGGACTCCTCCTCCTGCGGCGGCTGCGCCTCGGATCCCTCCAAGTCCATCGGCTCCTCCGCCTTGTCCGCCTCCGTCTTCTTGTCGACCTTCTCCAACATCGACGCGGACGAGACGGTGAAGATGCCGTGCAGGTTGATGCGCACCTTGACCTTGACCTTCGAACTCTCGCCCTCAGGTGTCGGCGTGATGTTCTTTATCGAAAACCGTCCTGAAGGTAGACGGTGAAACGAAAATTGGTAAAAATCGGTCGCTCGTTTTACACTAGGGAATGTCCCCGATCGACTTTAAGTATCTATGAACTACAGAGTAGACATCTAATTTAATTAAATATCAAATTTTTTAGTGGTAGAGTTTTTAGAGTATAAGTCTGTAAGACAAGTAAAACAAATAAAGCACTACCTACTCTCATCCAGCCCATACCGAATAAAGAATATAAAATGGCAATTCACATTTCAAATCTATGTAAACATCCACATTTTCTTGTTGGCACATTAACACAGCAGCCAACTGACGTGAATACGGCTACGCAGAAAATTTATTTCCAAACTTTCACCGCCGAAATGAACGAACGAATGAACGAACAAATAGATGAACGAACAAATGGATGAACAAACAAATGGATGAACGAACGAACGGAGAACGTGAGAAGCGCGCACGCACCTATCCGCGGATTGTCGTAAGGAATGTTGTTCGGGTACGAGTATCTGCTGTCGATGTCGAAAGGTTCCTTCCTGTAGAAGGTCAGCATCTTCGAGAACGGCACTGCGTGGAACTCAGTGAACACCTCCAGTTCCCTGGAACATCAACGATCACGTTACGATTCACGTAAGACTTGTTCACGCACCCACGTGAACGGCAGTCGCCTTACCAGAATAAATGGTCCACATACATTTTTTCGGAACTTTTCCAGGAGTTTGGGGTCTATAGGGTCTAGTTGGGTCTATTTTCCAGAACCCCTCCAAGATTTATAAAATATTTGTACATTGTATCTTCTAATCAACAATTAGTGAACAAACACTCGACACGAGAAATTTGTTCTCAATCGTGGACATGAAACACGGCTATACATATTCAGTGAATTAAAATTTCTATTATCATGTACGGAATTTGTGGACCCAATAGATATGTGGTAAATTTCTATAACCTTCCAGACATGGACTACTCCAGAACTTTTTAGGTTTTTAGAACTGGTACGAACCCTGATAGAGCACGTTACAGTGAGACACCAATTGCCTGCAATTTCGTTTCAACACAGCTACGACCTGCCAGCAGCATTTACGCTTACGACTTGGCAGTAGAGCTAATTGTATGTGCTCACCCGTCATCTGCGTTGGGATCCTTCCACATCAAGGTGATGGGATACGGCTGTAAGTCTGTCACAGAAAACTCCCTCACCTTGAAGGCAGGCGACAGCATTGCGCACTGAAACACGTGGCACATGCACACTGTACATCCACCTTGATTGCACAGCGGTTACTAGATTTTTAAGCTCAAATGCATAACCAAGCATGCATACTGTACGCAGATACGCACAGAAAGACCATTAAGTGTCTCGACATTTTTTCTCACAGACCGAACCCTCTATACACTGCGTATGAGAAACACATTACTGCACCATGTTTCTGTCGACAGTCTACAAGAAAAATTATGACGTCAGTGTATGAAAAAATTTGTCCCGAGTGCTGGGACTAATTCTCAGACTAATTTTCTTTCTGACAACGTGCAACCGCAGGGGAGAAAACTCGTGGGACGTGTCCCAAAAAAACACCGTTTCAACGCTTGTAAACTCCGCATTCATCGTAAACGATGAAATATGAAAAATGAGAATAAAACAAAATAAAACCACGGACGTTTCGCGCAAGTAAAAGAAAGACATCAAATGCTGGATTTAAGGTGACAGTAACTTTATTCGTTTAACGTGTGTGACGCTGCGAGACATGATAATACTTAACACTTCGTAAGTCGTACGGCGTTTACCTCGGCTGCTGTAAAATAATCAAACGGGATACTGGGGAAAGATGCTGGAGCACGGCGGAGTCGGTGATCACCGGCCATCCCGTGTGCTTGTGAGTCACATCACGGATGTGTTTCTATGGCAACGGCTTTGCGCGATATCGTGAATGAACCCGCGTATGTTCAACATGCACAGATCCACGACAGCGGGCATATATACTTGTGAAACAGACAGGTAACGCGTGACGTGCGTCAGTGCAGCTACCAGTACTGCCTATACCGTTAATAACATGAACAATATTACGCGTGTTCGTGAACACGCGAACATACAGTTGTTCGTGAACATGCGAACATACGCATGTTCGTGAACACGCGTATGCTCGCGTGTTCACGAACATGTCAATAGGAACACGCGAGCATACGCATGATCGTGAACACGCGAGCATACGCGTGTTCATGTCAATAGGAACACGCGTACTTGTGTCATGTGAAACGCTGTAGAGAAACACTTTGTAAATCGAACTTTTGCTTTTTTGTTAACAAAACCCAAACCGGAGAGGAAAGCGCACAGAGTATTCAGCTACGTGAACGCGTGTGGCAACATCTTTAGCAGCGAGTGGATATAACAGATTCGTGTGTATAGGCGCAGGAACTAGAAGCAGGGGAACATGTACACACGCCGTATGTAGATTCGCACAGGCGTTTGCTGACAGACCAATTAGAGATGCCATCAAACCTTGTGACTATTTTACAAGGTAGCTTCTCGCTTCTCACTACGTGGCGCGGGAGGCGTTGCCACGACGCGAAACAGTCGTAGAGCCTGATCGGGGCTACTTGCGACCCCAAGATGTATTTACACACCGCATCACTTCCGCCCACTCCCCATGCCTCTCCATCCTTCCCCCTCGTTTGCACGCCCGCATGTCTTTCTTTCCCAAAACAATACTACACAAGCATCGTCTTGGTAGTAACAGTACTAGCATGAAGAATCCTGCACTCGTGTAGAGAGAGTACAGACGAGTTCGTCGTATATTATAGCAGTGATGTATTTTTCCCGGTACGTACATTCACATCCCATTCACTAACAAACAGTGAGGTGGCATGCACATGCTAAGCATGAGAGAGAGAGAGAGAGAGAGAGAGAGGAGACGAGAGAGAGAGAGGAGAGAGGAGCGAGAGAGAGAGAGAGAGAGAGAGAGAGAGAGAGAGAGAGAGAGAGAGAAAGAGAGAGAGGGAGACAGAGGCAGAGACAGAGGCAGAGAGAAAGAGAGAGAGAGAGAGAGCGAGAGAGAGAGAGCGCGGGAAAGAGAGAGAGAGAAAGAGAGAGAGAGAGAGAGAATACCTGCATGCGACAGCCCCCCACCCAACCCCGTAAATTGCTCTGTATTCACATCTCGCACTCACCGCTATGCCGCGCGCTACGCTAACATCAGTGTACAACCACTAGCATTGCGCAAACCTGCTTTTACGAATGGCAGCCAGACAAACAAGTTATCATCCTCTTTGCAGAGCGCCCGCTATGCAGGACAGAGGTAGAGAAGCACACACCGGTTCGCATGAACACGTTAGTAGCTGCGTGTATACCTACTGCAATGTGAGGTTACGACACCACGCGCCAGATAGCGTTGCCTTCACCATCTTCAAATGCTCAAAGCACCCATTCCTGCTACAATAGGTTGGTTAACGATGTTACTATAATTAATGCGCATGACTGGCAGCGACTGTACATTCTCATTTACTGCAAACGCATCCGCGTTTTCACAAAGAACTTAGGTTAACAATTCGTGCAATAGTTCTTAGTAGACAGGCAAGACTCGACAGAAGGCATATGCAATTTCTTATGGAAACATAGCTCTTCAGTCTGTCACAGCCTGTGGCAGAACGAAGGGCTATAGTTCTAGAGCTAATGGAAACAATACTCGCATTTCAAGCAACGATTCGGACACGTACGGCACTAGTTTTGCAACACGCCACACAACGAATGCAAAAAACATTTTTTTCCTAAACGAGACAGTTTTAACGAATAAAACCATGAAGTTATTTACGTATTTGTACACTAAACTTATAATCGTTTATACCACGGTTAATTTCATTTGGATATAAAATTCCATTTTCGAAGAGTGACTTGCCCGACACTTTGTCAGATTTTAATGGATTGTAAATAAAATCAAAACATTAGTGCAGTAAGTTTTAATGCTAGTTTCCAAGGTTACTTTCAACAGAAAACTACTTTGGTCTAAATAGTCAGGAAGTACATGAAATTGCCACTATCCTGAGAACATGTGTCACGGGGTGTAGCCTGACCATTCTTGCTTTAGTACGGATATGTTAGATGATCGAAGACAATGAGGATGTCCCGTATGATAAAGGTCTCTGACATGCACAACGTTGGCGGTACAGACAGATAGGCAGATCTAGTAAGACGTACGTGCTTATGAAGCTAAGCTACTTCTGAAATTATCACAAGGTCATAACGTTGCAACCATAACACACTGCAGTAGCAACCCACAATCTTACTCGTTATCACTGCTATTAAATAAAATATTCGTATCGCTGTATATTATCATCATTATCATTAATAATACGCTATCAGAAGGGATAATTCCTATTCGACATCCTGCCGGTAAGCGAGGCATGTTCTTGTGTTTCGACGACCCGCCAACAACCACGCACAGTCGTCGGCGAGAACTGCGCAAGCGCCCTCTACTCTGCGCAGGCGCCCTCTATAGTCAGCACAGCGTGCATATTTCTCTGGAATCGGCAGTTATGTTGCAGCCTACCACCCCCATCACCGCGTTCAATCGAGCTCCATGTCTGCCTTTCCGGCAGAGGCGTCCGTGCTGGCAGGTCCGGCTCCTCCCTGCTCCTCCTCCCCCGTCTCCATCGGCTTCTCCTGCTCGCCCTTCTCCTCGGACTTCTCCTCCTCCTTCTTCGGCTCGTCTTTTGGAGGCTCCACTTTCGGTTTCGGCGTGTTCAATATCGGATTGCAAGTCGATTCTAACAGCTGCGAACAGAATACAGTCGTAAGTTTCTGCTAGTTGAAAACATGGATGGCTCAACATGAGAATTTAATCTGATATATATATATATATATATATATATATATATATATATATATATATATATATATATATATATATATATATATGTATATCTATGTATATATTTATATATATGAATATGAATCGATACCTGAAATGTAATTTTATTAAAAAAACAATGACAATTGGTTACCTAAACTTTGCAAGGAAAATCACTTATACAGACAATGTGTTTAGATGAAAGACAAGTATATATCCTGTATACAAACTTGCTTTTATAAGATCACTGGACTGTCAGATATTTCAAATATCGTGCGGAATGTGGGGCAGGATTCATGTACCTTCTGCTCATTGCGTATCTGACTCGCTAGCACAACAGGATCATCTGTCAGGGCGCGACCCGTCTGATTGTTCATCTGCAGGTTAAACCAGTCGGACTTCTCCTTCACACACTTGGTCACCTTCTCCATTTCCGCGGCAGCGATGTGCTCATATTTCTCATCCTGCGCAAACATTTGATCGACAAGAATCAGTGTAAGTTTGGAAACGTGAATGTTAAAACGTGTACGACACATTGAGTACAGCTGAAACACTTGGATGCTGGAAAAACATCAGGACCCTGCAACTAATAGACGTACTTGAAGCCACCAGTACATCATGGGCTCGATTTCATGAAATTAATGGTAAAACCAAAAAGAAGTGGTTTGAAATGATATATCTATACTAATCCTCTTCAATCATTTGCTAATGATCGAAGTTCCAATGCTCTGGTAACAAGAAGTGGCTAGGATTAGTAGAGTAGTGGAGTGTGAACTGTTATCATACCTTCTTCTCATACAGATCCAGAGCCTTTCTGTAGCGCTGCAGTGCTCCTCCCAAATCTTCAAATGCTTTAGGCCTCTCCTGCATCTCTCTCCATCTGTAAAACAGAAACATTGAGCCTTAAAGATATATAACGCCTTCCTTAATGCCACCTGTAGTCACCTATTTGCAGAGCACGAAACAGATACCGATAAGAATTTTAGTTTGCTCTGTAATTTTTGATTAAAGGAAGGAACTAAGGAAGGAAGGATTAAAGGAATTAAGAATAATATGTTTTCTCACATGCCGATTTTTTCGGCGTTTACCACTTCTATGCCCCGAAGTAACGACGTGCGTTTCGTAACACCACAGACGTAAAACGTTCAGTATCTCTTCGAGTTTGTTTCGCCAAAACGCTGGTGGTAGCAGAAGGCACGAAGCCAACTACAAACAACTACTACTCCTGAAGCCTGACTCTCGCCAAATTCCCGGACAAACGCATCGCTCGAGCCTTCGATCTCGTAACGGGAGTGCGTCATCGAGTTAGCGCCGCCCGGCGACGGTTACCGCGGTAACGTACCGTGTCGCGATGGGGTCGCTCAGCTTCTTCAGGGCGGTGAGCCGGTCGATGTAGACCTGCTTCGATTCGTCCTCACCCTCGTCGTACAGCCAGTCCTCTGTCTCGCTGTACAGGCTAGACAGGCGCGCGCGTAGCTGCGGGAGGAAGGAGGAGGGAACCATACAGTACCGTAACCGTGACCTTAATCAAAAACTAGGCAAAAAAATAGGCATTGGTCATTGTACGGTCGCTGTACAGGCTAGACCAGTGCGTGCGTTGCTGCGGGAGGAAGGAGGAGAGAACGTGTATGCATCGGGGCGCTGTACAGTAACGTATGTGCCGTGACCTTAATCAAAAACTAGGCAAAAAAATAGCAGATACGAAAGTTAGCCCGAGTGTGACGGGAGTGCTTTTCAGCGTCGGCACAATTATCTCGCCATAAACGCAGTGACAAAGGGAAACAAAAGCGCGTTCGCCCGTCGACAACCGCAGACGACCGTGCGCGAGCGTTGCCACGGCGACGTACCTCCTCGGTGACAAACTTCTCGAATGCTTCGTAGAGTTTGTTGCGCATGTCGTAGACGTGTTCCTCGAGCGAGTTCTTCGAGTCGACGCGGTCCTTGTCCTGCTTGTCCTGCGACTGGAACTTGAACTGTGACGAGAGAGAACGGGAGCGATGTCAGGTCATGAGGTCAGAAGTCTTGCTAGGATCGATGTCAGAAGTCTTAACAGAAGTCTCGTCAGGGTTAGGGTCAAGGCTGGTGGGCCACACAGGGGCAAGCCTCTTGTGGTGTTACCATTACCGTAATTATAATTCTTGGAACCATTGTCACAAACAAAATTAGTCTTAATGTTAGTCTCAACGTGGACTTTTTTCGAGAGACTGGCCCTCTATACACTGCGTACTAGAAACGAGTAACTTTATGATGTTTCTGTCAACGGTTTATGAGAAAAAGATAACGTTATGGCATATGTTAAGACTAATTTTGTTTCTGACAACGGTCTATGAGAAAAGACAATATTAAGGCTAACACTAAGACTTTGTCTAAGTTTTGTCCCAGACAACGGGCCCGCAGGGCGCGACACACGCGTGACACTACTGTACATCACGCGACTCACTACCTTCTCTATAAGGTCCTAACGGTCTACGAGACAAAGATAATGTTAATACCAACTTTAAGGCTAACGTTAAGACTAATGTTGCTTCTGACAACCGTTTACGAGACAAAGATAATGTTAATACCAACTTTAAGGCTAACGTTAAGACTAATGTTGCTTCTGACAACCGTTTACGAGACGAAGATAATGTTAATACCAACTTTAAGGCTAACGTTAAGACTAATGTTGCTTCTGACAACTGTTTACGAGACAAAGGTAATGTTAATACCAACTTTAAGGCTAACGGTAAGACTAATTTTTCTTCTGACAACTGTTTACGAGACAAAGGTAATGTTAATACCAACTTTAAGGCTAACTTTAAGACTAATGTTGCTTCTGACAACCGTTTACGAGACAAGGATTATGTTAAAGCTAACGTTAAGAGTAATTTTGTATCTGAGGCTCACCTC